AGTATAATTATAATATAGTTGAATATTTGAAAACTGATTGCTTAAATATATAATAAATGATACAATTATAATATATTTCAGTATTTGCAAACTGTTTGCTACTTATTTACCCAACAATTTATACTCATTCAGTAATTTATCTTATATTAAGCGCAATATTACGTGATACTGAAAAAAAGCTAAAACTACTTTAATGCTTTTAGCATTAAAGTTTATTAATACATAACTTAGCTTATAAAAAGAAATAACATCTTACCATATAAAGACTGTACGTACATCCAAATCGCATTACGATATTTACTTGTATCCACGTCACTATAGGCACCCATCCTGAAGTGACAAAATAACTTAATGGTTATTTGTTGAAATTTAAAGATTCTATAAACAATTCAATCAATAAAAAAATAGGAAAGGAAGATCTACCAAGAATTATACATGTAAAATAATGAGTGTGATTATCACAATATAAGGTCAATAATTAAATGGTAGAATTAATTAAGAATTGACTGATAAAATGATCATGCTAAAGTAATGAAAATGGTGATTACGTCGCATAAGTAAGATTTTGAATGAGTGTTATTTTTTTATCCAAAATATCAGCCATCTCATTATATAATTCATCAACACAACTGTAGCCTTGATCTTCCCATGAAAACTCCTGAAAGAAACTGTCAGTATTGCGGAAGAAGTTACTCAGTCAAAAAGACCTGAAGGTATTCAAATGCATAAATATAAGAAAATATGAAATTCATTTAAACTATTTTAAATTTTCAAATTTAATTTTATACCTTCAAAAATCACAAAAAAAAGGATCAAATCAACGAATAATATTTCAATATAGCGCCTCATTCACAAAACTAACACAATTACACGTCGAAAACATACATTTCCATGAATTATTATTATTATATTTCTTAGCATTTACAGAAAAATACTTGAATACATAAGCTTCAAAAATCTCCATATTTTTTACTTAAATTAGATAGCTTCAACAACTAACGTGAATTTTATGAGTTCGAGCTAGACCTTCTCGAGCACATTTTACGAAATCAATGTAACCGAAACGATTATTAAACGTATATAATGATTGCACCGATTTTTTTTCCATGCAATTATTTTTCGACGTATTTTTTGGTAACGAAGTTTCTTCTGCTCCTGCAAAAATTATAATTGAATCAGTGGAGCAAATGTAAATTTTTCAATAAAAAAAATCGCTTATCAATAACGATATAAGTTTTTTTTAATTTAATTATAATTTTACTCGAAGTTGTAGATGTAATGCCACTGCAATCGTCTTGTACTTCCAAGAAATCTTTTTGCATTTCTTGTTCACCTAGTTGTTTCACATCATTTAATTTTGTTTTTTTTAACTGATCCATACATTCCAGTAATAATTCAATCTCATGACTATTACCACTCTTTTGATCGTCGACCGCCATGTGTGAACTAAAATTTAGCATTCAAAATCTAATTAATATAGCAAACAATTATTAAATGAATGATTATGAAAGTTATATCTATTTTTATTGTTGTCATGATAACAATAAAGATTAGATAGTAATATTAAGATTAAACTTTCATTATACTACAGCATGTAACTATAAAGGTATGTAAAAAAAGTAGATCATAATTTATTGTAAACTACTCTACTAAAAATACCAACCTTGCACATCCATTTGGATATACAGTACCATTTCCTAAAACAAAAGAGCATAACACATGAGTTTGTGCCAGTACAACTGATGCCTGAACCAATTCTGATAAACACCAATTTGTTGGTGAACAACATTTTGTAAGCGTCTGCAAAAATTAATTTTTATATAACAAATTCTTTTAAACATCTGATCATCATAAATAGTGATAATCGTTCAAAAAGAATACAACGGTTATCATTATTTATGTTAACATTTTTTTTTGAGATATTTCATTTGCAATATTTTGCATAATTTATTAATCTAATATGTACTAATTAAATACCTGAATGTTTTATATAACAATCTGAGCAATTCAACTGTAAAGAATATTAATTTGATTAAATTGTGTAGGTGTATATGAGTATGTGTGTGTGT